TACAACAATATGGTGCTGAAACACAGTGTAGTGGGAGGAACAAGCAGCTGAGGAGAGGAGAAAATGGGGTGAGAAGTTTCTGAACTAATTACTTGCTAGAGAGAATGTGTTGAGCTACAGTTTCAGACTTATCAACTTATCACCAACAAATTAAGTTTAGTAACTGTGACTCACCAATTACATGGTTTTCTTGTAACTTCTTTTTCTCTTGGCTTTTCCATCCATTTGAATTTTTTTAAAACACTGCAAGCTTTATCTAAGGGGAAATGAATCAGATCTTAAAGAGAATTCCCCAGAAAAACAAACAGAATGCTTTTTTTCCCAAAGCTTGAAAATGTAAACAAGAAACTAGAACTAAGATCTGTTCTTTTCAGCTTCTGGAAGGAAAAAAAAAAAAGTATTTTAAAAATCACATTTAACTTTTATTTCTCTGATATCTACAGAGTTGCCACTCCCTTTGGTGGTTTTGAGAGAGCATCAAAGCTGGTTAAATTCAAGGTACCAGATTATAATATGCTGATGCTAAATGATCCCAGATTCATGATCCTTGCAAACCCTCTTGCTGCCAGAAGATCCTTCAACAGGACTCCCAAAGGATGGACATCCGAGAATATCCCTGTAGTGTTCATTCAGCCTGCGGAATCCAACACCGTTCCAGAAACAGAGGACCTGTGAGAGAGGTTGCATTCTACATGGTACAAAATGCTCAAAGCTGCACATCCGTGTTTTTTTGGTCCAAATATTACTAAAGGCTACTGACTAAATTTTTCATTGGAAGCTGGAGTATACTTAATAATTTGGGATGCAGTGTCTCTTTTCTGGCACCCAGTTTCATCTGTAACACAAACTAAATAAAGTAACTTGGAAAATATTACAGTGATGTTTTCTATTTGTGTTTACATGTTCTTTTACTTTCTGAAATATTTGCATGTAATTTAAGAGCAGGTGTACCAAGAAAAAAGAAGTGACAGTACTCGAAAGGGACTTGAAAGGTACGACAATTTAGGGAAAACAACCAAACTGTGCACTCAATGCACCCCAAGTCCTGCTTGCTCGAGATAAGCTCTGAAAAATCAACCTTCTTCCCAAACCCTGCCTTTGGCCCAAGGTAAGAATTGTGTCACTACTTCAGTGACAGCAAGTTCAGGGCATTTTCTTCCTTTCTGACTCTTCCTCAGCTGTTATGATGCACATCAGTGCCTGTGTCACCTGGTTTTGTTTACAAAAAACTCGGTGAATTTGGCAATGACAAGGATTACGTACTGGGATGAAAAAGTACAGAGGTATTTCCTGGATGTCTAGAATGTTTGTGTTATTCACAACTAAAAAGCCTAGCAATGACTGGTTATGTCAGACATACAAAAATAGTACACCAAGCTCTGGTACCACAAATGTTTTTTCTTACTAAAAGGAAATTTCATAGACCTTTTCCCCTATATCTATACTGGTACTTAAAAGCATGAGAGAGTCCTTCTCTTATGGACTGACAAGCTCTGATATTTTATAAGTATCAGTATACATGTTTTTCAAATGTCATTTCAAGGCAGGTAGTTGGCAAAGGAAATTTTGCCATCCATTTCCTGTCATTTACTTTCTCACACAATTTTCACAAATAAATGTACAGATCCTGAACAAATTTAGGAAATAAAGAAATAAATTTTTTTAAAAATTACCTCATTGACTGAGAACACTTTCCTAGCAAGGGACTCGTTTGGGGATCTTAACTGTGCACACTGTACAACCATTAAATGGACAATGACAAAATATGAATTCTTCAAAGTTAAAGATGCAAGACTAAAGAAAAAAGCTATGGTGAGGTGTAATGCAAACAAGTTCTGGAGGAATTAGCATTTTATGAGCATTCGTAAGGCTGTTTGAAGAGAAATATGAGAAAACTGGTGCATAGCACAAACACAGTGAGGACTGTGAAGAGGGGAGGCATCATTTTTACTTGCCAAAGGAGCTGTGGCACCGCAAAACCGGGAGCTCTGATTCCCCTCTCAGCTCAGTCGTTAGCTGCAGCATAAGAGCCCTGTGCCTCCTGCTCCCAGCTCTGCCACCAGAGAGCCGCGAGCACACCAGCCCATCGCACGGGCTGGAGTGCTAATTGACAGAGGGAGGGCTATGCAATGTGCTAAGCATTCAAAAGCACACAGGAACCAGTGCCAGTGTCCAGGAATGTTCCCTGGCTGCATCAGCCTGGATGGAGCCTCATTGTGCAAGTCCCACCGCAATAAACAAATCCCTCTGCCAAAATCCAACTCGTTTGCCTCAAAGGAACATCTCTTGGTAAGACTGGGAATTCAGAAGTTCACTGCTACCTTCACTGGGTTTTAGGACCTGCATTTATTTTTTCAGACTGTAATATTGCACTTGAAATGTACCCTAGAACTAGAGGAAAGCTGCAGGGGAGCTCCTAAAGGCTTCATTTAGCGGTAACAAATACAGCTGCAAGGACAGATTGAATGGGAAAACACACAAGTAAGATTTACAGAAACAGAAACATGGACAAGTTCATAAATATTTCAGGAGATGTGCATTTCACATCATGTACATTTTATCAAAAGACACTGCTATTTGCTTCAAAAAGAGAAAGGCACTAAAGGTATGGTGAGAAGTCAGAAGTATGGTGAGAATAAAGATATGATAAAAATGCCTAAAAGTCTTAGTTCCCAAAGGTTTTTTTGTCTAATTTTTATTAAGGTACCAATTCCAGCACTTTAAAGGGAACTCAAAAATTCATTTAAATATTTTCACTAAAAATGTGTTGAATTGAGAAAATAGCTTTGCTATTTTGCAGTCTATACAAAATACCCTATGATCACAGTATGTAAAAAATTAAAGATGTACACTTCCAAATAGCTCCATGACTATAAGGGATTTTTAAAACATGAACTTTAAACCTTTTTTGACATGAAAAATCAGGGTTCATGGCCTGCACTGTCTGCTCTGGAGAGAAAAAAAATTAACCGCTCCCTCTTACGAGTTCAAATATGTCAGCATGTCTTGGCTGCTTTCCCTCCTGCATTATCCATATAATTGACAATTGTGGAAATAAATTATTATTCTATTGTCTCAAAGTATCCCGGTGTTTAAATTAATTTAATACACATTGTTTCAATCAGAAGCAGAAAACACACACTGGAGACAGAATTCTATTCCCAGTGAAATCAAATAAAGGCTTTGGCACTGCCCTCTGTGCAGACAGAACTTCTACATGGCATTTATTTCATCTCAACATGTATTTGCAATCATAATTTATAATATGTGTTCAGCATCACAATGGATGTTTTGGATTATAGAGCTGGGCCTAACTATGTAGGTAGTTTGTTTTGCATTTTTACATACGGGGAAGTGTTAACAACCCTACCATGCCTTAGAAATACTTTGGGAAGCCAAATGGAAATTCAGGGGAAAATGAGCCCATATCTATTTAGGTATCTTTAAAATTATTTTCAAACCAGACATGAATAATCTACACTCTACCTCAGCTCCTAGATGGCCTTACTAACCAGCAAAAAATATTCTGGGCAGCACCTAACCCAAGAAGATAAAACAGACTTCCTGAAATACATTAAGACTGTGGAGCATAAACCCCCATATATATTAGATTAGAATTTTTCATTGTGAGGCCCATAAATTATAAGCAGACAAGACAGAAATACCAGAAGATCCCTATAAGGCTGACAAGTCACATAGCACTGTCTCCTTCTTTATTCCCGAGGCTACATACTGTTCAAAACCAAATAAAAAGTGATCCAAATGATTTATAAATAGTATGTTTGCCACAGAGCTGTTATGTAACTGGGTGTTAGAATATAGATTATAAGAAAATTACGAATTGCTGTCAGAATACTGATACAGTTTAAGAAACAAAAAATTGCATATAAATACTCTTAATAAAAGGAAATAAAGAAGCCACTGAAAGGGTGAAGTCCTTTCAAGGAAATAATGCATTATTTAAAACAGCCTGCAGACTTTGTTCAGAGCAAGGAAAAACTACTACAGAGCTCTAATCCTTCTCTCAAAAAGAAAAAAAAAAAAAAAAAAAAAAGAAGTTATCATGGTTTAAGAGTACAATAGAGGAGACTCAAAAGACAAAAAGACAAAACTATACTGCAAGGACATAGTAATTAAACTATCTCAACACAAATAAAGGAAGTTATGACAGAGGTCTCCACAAATGGTATGGAAAAGATGATGCGGGAACAATAACACAGGAACAAACTGACTCTTATTCAAATGGTAAGGAACCAACTTTAAAATTAACGGAATAAATATTTTCTCAAAAATGCCTGGTTGTGGAATCTGGTGCTATAAGATTCTATGGGTCAAAAACTATTAATAACTTCAAAATAGAATAAACAACTTCATAGTGGTAACTATGCCTATTATGGATAATGGCTACTATGGGATCTGCACCTGGAACATAGGAAGTGTGTAAGAATGATCACCCCACATCTACCCCATTTTTTTTTTTCTATAAATATCTTTTACTGGGCACTGTCAAACATCTGGAAAAGAAGGATTTGTCAGTCCTATGAAGTACTTTCTGTCTCCCCAAAGCCATGTATTAAAGTACCATGTCAATTCTAGCACAGGCCGTTAGTACAATGTCATTAATTTACATCAAAATATCCATTAGGTGAGCAGTGAGAGCAAAGTCAATTCCCACATGGAAATGGGGACATTTAAATGCAAGCGGGAATCAGAGGGAGCCAAGACTAACTTAAACATCCCATACAGCATATGGGCACTGCAGGGAACACAAAAGCCTGCCCAGCTACTCCTTTGGCAAGAGTCCTGATCCTATAGAGAGAGCTCAGGTTAGGACACAACACACAAAACTTGTTCCTCAGTTTTCCCTTTAATAAAATAGAAATTCTAATGCAAGCTGTATAAACCTTTATTTTTATTATATTATGTTTGGGAGTTGGGGTTTTGGTTTTTTTTTTTTTCTTTTCCTTTTCTGTTGTATTTTTGTTAGTTTGGTTTTTGGTTTGGTTTGGGGTTTTTGCTGTTGTTTTGGTTTTTTTTCTTTGTTTGTTTTTATGTTGAAGAATGAATTTCATTGTAAAAATAAAGAAAGTAAAAAATAGCCTTACATGAGTACACACGTAATATTCCTGGCTATGGTGTAAAATGAATGCAAGAAACATTTCAAGTAGAATAACGTTCTACTTTCATTTTACTCAAAATATTGGATTTCATTCTACAATGGGCAGGCTCTAACTAATAGAAGTATCAACAAATTAGTATTTGATGTTCTTCAAATAAAGATGTAACTTAGGCTATTAAAAAGTCCAAATAACTTCTCTTACTGTTATTTTTGGACAAAACTTTAAACTAAATTCAGGATGAATTCACAATCCTTTTGTTTTCAGATGAAAATTGGATTTCCTGAGAACAGACTATTCATCCAAAATACCTGGCCCAGAATTTGCAATACTTCCCTACTGCACAAAGACACTGTGAGACAAAGTTAAACAACACTTGCAAAAGGCAGAGGATTTATAAATCACTGCAAGAGTGAAAATAAGCCCTGGTATTTTAAGCCAACTATTCTTTCAAAAGCAAATGGAGATTAAAATATTCGATGGTGTTTGTACAAAGAACAGCTTGAACTTTGCCAGTTCAGAGCTGGCTGTACTCATTAGCACAGGAAAGCCCTCAGGCTGCTTTGCATGGAAGGTGTAACTTAGAACTGGATTTCTCTAGAGTTCTGAAGGACATATGGACTGTCATCTTCCAAAACAAAAAAGTAAAAAGCTTCAAATCTTGAGGAGATCTGGGTGCCAGGAGGCTGACCATACCCAGTCCCCACAGGGGGAAAGCTGGCAGCCATGCACAAGTCCAAAGTGTATCATTCCACTTCCTTTTCTTTTGAGAAGATTCTCTGCAGAGCCAAGTTAATCTAGGCAAATACTAACGTGAAACTGTGGTCATTACCCTCTTGATTACTGAAAGATGACTATGCAAGATAACTACAAATGATTATAAACAAACATTTGAGGCATGACAGGCTCTTCCTAGGCTGGCCTACTGTATGTCAAGGAGCCAAGTAAGGCTTAATTCCGGCAGCGAATTCCAGCACTATGTCATTCCTCAAGTTCTTAATGAGAACATTTAGACTATTTGCTGGCAAAGGTAACAACAAGAACATGCTGTACAAAAAGGAAGGAAAAGCTGAACTAAAATGGAAGTGTCTATTTCCTATTTGGGTTTTGCAGTGATGCAAATCCATCTCATTAAGTCTCCCAGCTGAAAAGGAAGTGATACTACACAAAGCTCAAAACGAAAAGTCTCCTTATATTTAGTGATGTCACTTTATCATTCCTGCGGGTGTGGCTTATAAAATAGGCATAAAGAAAGGAAAATGTGGAAATGGGAAGCATTAGTGGGATGGAAGCAGTAAAGCAGAACTGCAGCTCTAGGGTTCTGTGAGATGAAGACAGTGCTATTTTAGAATATGTTCCTTGAACAAGACATTTTCTCTTAGCAATGTTTAGACACCTCGTCAGTTAAAAAACTTCCTCTAATTTTCAATCTAAATTTGGTCATACCCATCTTAATTTCTTATTACAACCTTTTTTTTTTTTTTTTTAAATTAATACATGCTTCCTTTCCTGTCACATTTGCTTCAGCTGGTATATTCAGACTGTAAGACTTTTTATGTTTCAGTTGCCCAGACTAAAAAATTCAAGTCCTTTTAGTCTCTTGTCCACTCATTTCATTTAGTAGGAATTTAAAACATATTTTTACAACTCTTCTAAGTTCAATTTCTTGCATGTGGATTTCCAGATTTGTTCTGTTTTAAGGTGTCACTGACCACATGTGCAACACATTGCATTAGTACTGTTTTATGCGTACAAGAAGTACAGGAATGAAATTATTTGTGACTGGATTCACATTTTCCACAGTAGCATCAAATCAGTGACTCAGAGCCACTCTGTCTCTGGCTTGCACACCCACTTCTTTAAAATTCTGTCATCTTCCACCGGACAAGCTCTGAGCTTTTATCAGGGAGCCTTTCCCATTAGGCTCTAACACATGACCTTGTACTTTATATTGCATCCCATTTTATTTCTCTATGCCTCAAGCTCATCCAATTAGTTCAGTACAACACCACACTACAGGAACTATTTCCCAACTTTGTGATGCCAACAGAGCTCATTAGCAAGTTCTAGGTTTTGTGCCAGGATCACTAATGAAAAAATTGAACAATATGAGTTTAAATATCAATTTCCAGACAGAGCTCCAACTTCCCCCTGCCATTAAGTGTACCATATTGCTACCTTTTCCTCTGGGCTATTTCTTTGCCCATCTGACACTTACCTTAAAAATTTCCCTTTTCTTCAGTGTGACAAGTTTGTTTATCTAGAAAAGAAGTTACTCTAGAAAGCAGGCATGTCTGGCATGATCTGTCTATGGCAAAAAAAAAAAAAAAAAAAAAAAAAAAAAGTTTTATCCTATTTACTTCCACATTTTTTTCTCTAAGAAGTCATCATCATATTTAAATACTATGTTTTAACACTGTTACATTTTACTTGGGTATAGACTGAGGTGCATGAGGAAGGGACTCAACTCATGTATTTCAAACCAAATCATCCTCAGTTTCTAACCCAGGATAAAATACAAAACATTTTTTGCATTCTATTATCTGAAGTATTCAATGTATTTTTTTTTTTTTCAATGAGACAGAATATATATTATGTAATGTCAGCCAGTATATTATTTCTCATTTTATAATCACTAAATTCTTCTCTTTTGTTTTCATTTTACCTCATGTTGGGTTTCACCCTGAAAGTTCAATTCAACCACAGGAGTTGTCCGTATGAATCAGACCTCTCTTGCTTTACTTTTTCTGTTGCAGACATCCATTCTTATTGGTTTACATGCTAGGAGGAAGCAATAAATGAGACCTGGAAACTTGTAAGGATTGTTGAAGACTGATGCAACACAAAGAAAGATCACCATAAAAACTTTATTTTTTCAAGAACATCCAGATGAGGACACAATTTTAAACAGTTGTCAGACATATACAGCATGCACAGAATTTTCTTATACTTCGACTGTTCCAACAACTAACTTTAAAAACTGAAATCCTTTCCTATTTTAGGCTATCCTATTGCATTGTTGTTCCACAGAAGTAGATTATTGGACTGGAAACTGGATTATCCAAGAGGAAAAATATTCAGTTGCAAGACTTATGCAACCCCCACCCTTTTCCTTGTTCCTAAAGAATGAAAAAAAATCAAGAACACAGAGACCTTGTTCCAGGCCCATTATCATCAAAATCTGGAGAAGAATGCAAACCAATGTTTCTTTTTCTAAGGGTGAAATTCTAGATGACTTCAATGAAATTGCTTTTGCCACCCCACTGAACACTGTAGCCCTTGAAAGCTACCAGAAAAATTTGTATAACCAGGCTAATATACAATGAATAAGAGGAAAATATCTTGTGTTTATTCCTGCACCTACAGGAAGAAAAGTTTAAAAAAGGTGGCTGTGCTCTTTGAAAGTGTCCACAGCTAACTGAGAGGAGGAGGAAAAAGATCAAACTCGAGCAGAAATGCTAGGCAGGTTTTTTTAACCTAGGTAAAATAAACCACCACTTAACACTCCCATTGCTTCTGAAGCCTCACTTGGAGGTTTTAAGATGAAAAAAGACAGTGATATTTTTTTCAGACAGGATCCATTTTCTTCTCCTTTCATTCATGCCTTCTAATGTCCTCAATTTACATGTATAAATTTTAGGCTGTATGCAGGATGTGGGAATGAGATCAATTGGATGACTAAGCTTCATGTGACGCTTCCTACAGACTATATGAGGAAAACACTGCTGGAGTGTGTTTAAAAGAAATGTTGTGGGAATAAGGTGTTCATGGTAGGGAAGATTTGAGCACTGGAATGGAGTTAGGTAAAGTTTCCCATAAGAAAACACATTCTCATGTGGTTTACTGCAAGATGAAGATATATTTTTCATTTATTCTGCTCTTGTTTTGGATAATTTTGTGGCAATACCGCTGAGCATGCAGCCTAGAGCACTTGGGCTAAAGGGCTTCCCTTCAGAAGCCATAGCAAATGCATATAATTGCTATTTGATGTCACAAATAATAAAAATACTACTTACCTTTTCTCTGATTCTTCTCCACCTTCACGGCACTCCATCCTACCAGGGTGTTTTCCTCAACTCCTGCAGAATTATGCAGAGCACTGAGCCAATCACTCAATGAAAAAGCACTGCTCCTGAAGACAAGCAACTGCAAGAACATCTTGGAATTTGAAAGTTTTTTTTGTCCTTTCCAGGCAGAACTGTTTAAACATATGATCTGACAGTACCCCAAAGGCTTAGAGAATGTGGGAAAATCACATATTCTGAAGTAACCCTTACCTTATTTAATGAAACTTTATGCTGCTACAGCCTAGGCAGAATAGGGCCCAGTGCTCCTGGTATCTTTCAAACTATATTTTCTTCTAGAAGAATGATTCTCTTTATCCTTTTTTTCTCCTGAGAAGAGTAGCACAGCCTCAAACACTCTCTTCAGAGCTCAGTAATTACTTCACAACAACAAGATGGCAGTTCCCATCCACTGGAATTAAACAAGATTTTCAATTAAAATGGCATTATCTCAAAAGTGTCTTAAAGTAAGTGCTAAATGGTACTTGATCACATAAAGATTGTTTATGATAGGCCAGTAAAACAGACTGGACCATAACAGGCAATATAGTGTAGTGCTGAATTAAATGCAGTGAAAACACTTGAAAAGAGAGATGTAACTAATAAAGCACACCTTAAATTCTGTATTGGCTTGTGGAATTTTCTGCCTCAGACCTTACACTTAATTTTCTAATTTACCTTTTGCAAAATACTCCAGTAAGTACAGACACAGTTCTCATTAAGTACATAAAGTTGATTTCACATGATGAACAGCTCCCAAAAAATGAGAAAGATCCATGCAGAAGACAAGAGCAGTAATGACAAAATCAATGACTTAATAAAATATTGCTTAACTATTTTTCAAAAAACCCCACAAACCTTAGTATTGTACCCTTCCAAGAAGAATTAGAGGAGGCAAAATTTTTTATGAAACATTTGAACATGAAGAGGATAACAGTTGATTGAAAAGGCTGTTGTAAACTTGTTCCAAGATTTAGGAAGAAATACAAAAGAAATTAGAGAACAGGTGTTCTAGTACAGCTACAGGTGTGAAAATACTAATAAAAAAATGCATATTAAAAGAAAAAAAATACACAATATAATTATTTCAGAGGAAGAAGTCAGAATTTATTTACAGAAAAACCACTGGCAACAAGATTAGAGATTACCCTGGAACAGGAAAATGGTAACACCAAAATAAACCCTTGTGTGTCTCTGTAAAACACAGATCTGTAGCTCAGTCATTGATGAAAATGATATGTGATGTCTGCAACACTGAGCAAAAACATTTCATGCAATTAATTACCTTTGAACATTTTGATGTCTCCCAACTATGTTAAGACTTTTCTTTTGGCATGTAGCTATTCACAAATGTGTTTTACCCTGGAATGGACATGTGCAAACTCGCAATGCCCTGGATGTTCTTAAGGATCTGGACAAGTTCCGCCTCCTTTCCCTCCCATCTTGGTGTTTTTTGTCACATCCTGAACCCACCTCCTTCAACCCCTCTCCTGCAAGTTTAGCACCTCTTCTCTCTCCATCAACTCTCCAGTGTAACCATCTATTTAATGATAATACCAAAGTGTACTGATAAACCCAGAGAAACATTCCTGTGCATTGTGCCTAGCACATATCCTGCACTGCCACAAACAGCAGCAGGAAATCATTTGCCCTGGTAGCATTGTTTTGTACAATTTATTCTAATTTTAAAATTCTTCTGCTACCTCATTTAGGGCTTCCTGTGCTGCACCTGTGCCACTCTCTGCCTGAACTGTGTGTGGAAGGCTCTGTTAAGATTCAGTGCTAGAGAATCCTAAAATATGCTATAATTAAAGCTCACAGACCACACTTACTCCGGGAGAAAAAAAAAAGGAACAGAAGAAACCAATATAAATCCTAAGGGACTTCTAAAGATTAGTGGTGAAAAATAAATCCATGCTGAAGAAAGGGCAGAGGCAAACATAAAAAGCAGAGTTCAGGGAAAGCAAAAATATCAAAATGAGGTCATAATCCCACTTTGGGACACACAGATGCCTTTGCTTGACTGGCTTTGCAAAGAAGTAACGCAGGGATCAAGAACTGAACTGATGCTACCCAAAACAATGAGCAGAATGCTTTTTAAGGGTGTACAGTAACAAGATGCACGGACACAAAATTAGATTTTTAATTGCCATGTTAACACACTGAATTTCAACATATTTTTACCCTTAAGTTTCTAGTAAGTATTCCTCAATGAATAGTTAAGAAAGAACTATGCAAAAAAGTAGAGCCATGATACTGTACAAATCTTTGAAGAATGGATCAGATATTCAATTCCCTTAAAAAAAATCAAAATTTCTATGGAAATTTTAAGAAAACAAGAGACAAAAATGGCATCCATTAAAAACTAAAAAGCATCCAGTTAAAACATCCTAACGCCTCAAGAAAAAACTTTTTCTACAAATCCTGTAGTAAGTAATTCCAATTTGTGAACATGACTCTACAAATCACTGAAAAAAATGTGGCTATCTGTTGATCTATCTAGCTATTTCTATATATGTAAGACAGAAGTCTGTAAAATTCACTGAAAATCTTGCCAAAGAATGACCAAAAAGCTGTTGGAAAACATTGGAGAGTGAACCTGCTAACATAGCTTTGCTAGTGGGGTTTTTACACTGGCAATATAATGGAAGAAACAGTAGCAAAAAGTAATCTGACGAAAATGTATCCATTAAAATAAAATGGAATACAAGAACAACAAAATGTCGTATTTAAACTAGTGAGCTAATTTGATGCCGTGCCTTGTATTCCACAGTCATTTTGCAATCTGGATGACCTAAAGTAGACACAGAAAGGAAACTCTACAGGGAAATAATTTTATGTTCTATTGCAGAAGATACTGTTGGAAAACTGAACATGCTCTGAGGCACAGAAGCACTTTTCCATTCCTAGAAGACTATCAGAAAGGCAATTGGAAGAGAAAAAATACAGTTATATCCAGCAGCATGTGCCAAGGATTGATGCTGGGTGTGGTAGCCCCTAAAAAAGCATCGCTAACCTAGAAATGAACTGTGGTCGTGAAATCTACATGTTTATCCAGGAAAAAAATCATATTAGTGGAATATAAAAGGTACTTGAGCAACTAGAAATACGAGCATTTGTGGATACAGAATTCCTATCTCAAATAACAAAAGGAAACACCACTCCCTGGCCAACATAATAGATTAGATAAAAATCAGAGGGAACACAACTTTGGGGCAGTGACTCTGGGGCAGGTGATAGATAAATTAACAATCACACAGGATCTTTGCAGGCCGAATGGAAGCGAAACGCAACTCTGAGGTGGATGTACACTTGTGTGGGGTCTGGCTCACAAGCCACTTTTATGCCAGTGCTATTCCATGGGCACCTCAAGGAAATCACGGCCAGATATCCTAGAATGGGAACTGGAAAACAATTGCTGGAAAAAACAAGCGCCGCCGCGCTTATATTAACGGGTTGTGAACTCCAAACCCGAGCACCTGAGGGGCACCCTCGGCGCCTTTTAAACCGAGGACGCCTGTGCCCTCGAACCGTGAGCAGGCGGGGAGGGAGCAGCGGGGTTGTGACAGCCCCTTACCTGGCCGCGGCTCCCCCCGCACCTTCGGCAGGACGCGGAGATCCGAGCCCCGCTCCCGCTCCCGCTCCCGCCCCAGCGCCTCAGGCGCCATCGCGGCCCCTCAGGAGCCATCGCGGCCCCTCAGGCGCACCCCGGCCCCGCGCGCCTTCCCGCGCGCGCCCCGCGCATGCGCACCGGCCGAGGGCGCGGCCAGCGCCTCCAATGGCCTCTCCCCGCTCCCCGCGCGCGCCCTGGCTCGGGAATATCCGGGACACCGCTCCGGCACAGCGCCCCGGCTGCCCCCGCACTGCGCAGGCGCGGCGGCGCCGGGCTGGGGAGGGGAGCGCGAAGGAGGAGCGGGGAGAGGAGGGGGAAGTAAAAGTTGCCGTGAGGGCGGGGCCGCGCCCGGAGTCGCCGCCGGGAGGGGGCGGGAGAGGAGCTGCGTGCGGAGCCGCCGGTGAGCTGGGGGTCCGCGGAGACTGAGGCGGGGGTGGGATAGGGGCTGAGCTGCGGGTCGGGCAGGGGGTGAGCTGCGGGTCGGGCAGGGGGTAAACTGCAGTGAGCAGGGGTCGGCTCGGGCCAGGGAGCGGGCACGGTTGTGGCCGCGGTCCCGGCGGGACAGGCGGCTGCGGTGCCGAGGTGGGGACGGAGCGCGGAGTGCCGGGGGACGGGACCGCCGCCTCCTCCCGGCCGGAGGGGCGGCCGGGGTTAAATCCCTGCCGGGGCTGCGTGGGTGGGGAATAGCCGCAGCTCCGGGGCCGCGGCCGGCGCTGCCCACGCCGCTGTGGGAGCGGAGGGGCCGCGGAGCCCGAGCGGGGACCCCGCGAGCGGCGGTGCGGGCTCGGAGCGAACCGCGGTTAATGTTCAACGCGGCGGTCACATGCCCGCCAGAGAGTTCTTAGGAGCGCTTCCAGAGGCTGTCTGCCTGGAACAGGAAATGCCAGTACAGGTAGTGTTGGAGCTGTTGGAAATGTAATCAGTTTGCAGCGTTTTGGAGGCAGAATTGTTTGCTGTGTGTTGTTGAATAGATGGAGTTTCAGAGGCATGTGGGTAGATGTATGCGAATATATGCAAATCACCTGCTTAGCATCTGGTCTAAGTTTACCTGTATCCCTTACTTTGATTTTCAATGCAAATATTTTAAAATCAGCTTTTCGGAGGAACCATGACTTGTTCTCTCAACGCTCATTTTCGCCTTCCCAGAATAAGTGAGTTTTACATATTTCTACTTAGTATTTTATTTTGCTCATGGAACACCCTGCTAAAAACACCAATGAACCACTTAAGCTTTCCTAACTTTGAAGCTACTAAGACTATTTTAAGAACGAGAACTTAATCGTGCAAACAGCATTGTGCCTGATTGATGATGCCCTTCCACCCCAAGGCAATGGAAAATCCCTTGAACTCATTTTATGATTACCTGCTCTTTTCTTATAAAAATGAAAGGGTGATTTTTGGTTTTAAAATAGTGAGATCTCATGTTATAATCTGACTGTAAATTAGCCTTGTCAAAGGGTAAATAATCCTTTCTTCCCCTAACAAATTGTTGCAAAGTAAGAAGTACTTACTGGTTATTTTTTTGAAGTATCAAATTACTTGTATAAAAAGTTATTATTCTTGACCAGTGGGATGTTGACAGGAAAAACAGGAAAAGTATGCACTTGACTTTCATATCAAGCCTGCATAGTGCAGAATCTTTTTTTGGCTATACTGTATGCGTGTTGTGCCACTGACAGAATTACTTGGATATGCGACCCAGAGGGTGCCAGGGTATTGGCACTGTTCTTGCTTATTCCTTGGTGTATGCCTCTTGATAGAGTAAAACAGTTTAGTCACTGAGGGATGTAGTGATGGGAACAAAACCTATTCACAGAGTTCTTCACAAGCTTCATGGTTTGAGCAGAAACAAGTAGGAGTTTGTTTGGGCCAGGTTCAATGATGATGGGTTGAGGCTAGATCAGGATTTTAGATGTGTAGACGAAGCGAAATGTTTGTAGGAAGGTTTGCATAGGATATATTAATGAGGAAATATATGAGATATAGTGATTCAGACATTCAAACTCTTTTTTTGACAAACCTGTAAAATATGTGTGGGTTTAAAGATGATGCTGACATTACCATTCCTTGTAATTCAGTTTTGTCATTTTTTCCTGTTGACTTAAGAAATCAGAAAGCTTTTGGCGGAAGAGCAGAACTTGGTATTTTGCACTTCTATTAATGATCAAACATCTGCACAGATCAAACACCTGAAAAGCAGGCAATTAATCTGAGACAAAAAGGCAAGTGTGAGTATCACTGTAAAGATACATTCTATCTTTCTGAGGCTCGGGGAAGAGTACATTGTAGCCTTTGAATAATCGCATGTAAAGCAGTAGGAAGACGGAGAACCAAAAATCTCTGTGGTGTCTGTGTGATGATTCACTGTAAATGCTGGCCCATGTCATGGGCTGGGCATTTGTGTTCTCCAAGATCTTTACTCAGAGTTCCCATTGCAGCTATTTCTGAAGTCGGTTGCTCCTTGAAACAGATGAGGAGGCTGAGCTGTGAACCTGTTGTTTTGGTTTTGATGCAAACAGGAAAGTTTTTACTGGAACAGCTTAAAGCAAAAAATTGTGCATTTACACAAAAGCTGTCTGGGATTGTATCTAAGCTTCTGGTTCTCCATCCTGGAAGGGAACAGAAACATGTGACGTGCAGGAGCAGTGGTTTGGCATAGGAGGGACAGCTAAATAGGCAAGGGCTCCAGAAGAGACAATAGAGATGCTGAAAAAAAGAAAAACTCTGGGTTGAAAATCTGGGTTTGGAAGATTTTCTAGAGGAGATAACATCAAATACTCCTTTGGTGTCTTGGGGGCTTGTTAAGTCAGTGACTGAAGGAGAAAGAATGTGTCAGACCAATACCAGCCAGTGGTAATACACTGATATTGGCCTTTTCTTGTAGTGTTGTTCTTGTTTCTTCTTACATGTGTGGCAAGTAAGTGCTATTAATGAAGTTTTTCTCCCTCTCTGATGTTTAAAATAGTGAGAATTTGCATTCCCGTTAATGTATTTCTGTGGCAACTTCCAAAGACAAAGACTCGTGGCTGCTAAAAGCATTTACATGTATCCTATGGTGTGTGAGATTTGTTGACAAATATATTTAACACGGAGGCTAAAGGTGGAAGGGGACAGGATCTGTTCAGAGGCCAAAAAATTATGATTCTGCCTCATTGAGGTGGGTGTAAGAGATTATTCCTTTCAAATTTTGGTATTTTTCTACATTTTTAAAGCAGCTTCACTGTTTATTTCTTTTTTCAAATGTAGGGAAAAATTATTACAACCTCCAGCACTGTCACAATACAAATCAGATTTTCATGCAGTTAAAAAATTTGGCAACTTTAAATGACAATCTTTGAACTGAAGAAAACACTCAAATTCTTGCAATTGCAAGTTGTTGAAATTTTGATGAATTTCATTTTGTTAAGGAGGAGACAGTAACCTGAGTCCTAATAATATTGGCTCATTGCGGAGAATTTTAGTGGTTTCCCATCACAGCTTTATTCCCTCATAATATATTTCATCACTCTTCATTCACCATTTTTGTTGTCTTGTGTCTAAATTCCTAAGTTACATCAGTTTAGGCATTGATTTCCCAGAGTTGTCAGGGTATTGGGTGCATTTGCCAGGCTCAGCACAGAGGCATGAAGCAGAAGCAAAATGCTGTGTGGCTTAAAAGCAACCTCGGCACTGGGCATGAGAAAGGTTTGCCATTAGTAATTTGCAACACACTGAGAAATAGTGGCAAAGTGAAGCTGAGAAGATGTAAATAACTATTCTTCAGCCAAATTTCAGGGATAGAAGCAGTCAACAACTTTTGAACTTGTTGGCAGATTTCCACTCAATTTGACAGAAGGGATAGAAGCCTCAAAGATGATTATGTACTTAGAAAGTGCATGAAAAGAGGCAGCTGGCTGGAAGAGAGAGCCCTTGTAAGATGATGTGAGGAGCAAAGTTGGCTTATGCCCCAGCTAGAGAGAAAACTGGAAGAACTCAGCCACGAGGCAGAAAATTATCAGGAGCCCAGGCATTGGTAGTTCAGTGTTCACAGAGCCAACTGTTTATCTCATCAGTTTTATCTTGATGGATATCAGAGATGCTTAAACCCAAATGTGCTTGTAAAAAGTGATTGTTTAGGCAAAATATCAGCTGCACTGACTTCTAAGCTTCTTTAGTGACACTGCTTCTTAAACTAAAGAGTCTGTGCCAGCCACAGCTATGTGCTGAGGTGTAGCAACCAAGCAGGTGATAACGTGCAGTTCTGCTGACAAGTGGATTTGTTGTTCTGGAAGCTGTAAAGGCAAGTGCCAGAAATTTTTGACAGGCATGTGTTTTGTCCTTTGAGGCTGCAAAGCTAAGGGTAGCAAGCTACTTGATGAGATCAGCTGTGACTGAAGAACAGTGGCTGAAATTGGGCAAGGTAGAAGAAGTTAAATAGTAAATAGACATTGGTTTGAGAGCTCTTGTTTAGTGTCTTTAATTGAGAACAGTTGTACACAATCAGTTCCTGTAATCTGAAGGTTAAGAATATTCCTTTAATTCTTAGATGCTAAAAATCTTCTGTAGCATGTCGTTAACACTGTCTGAAATAACTCTTTTCCTGAAATATTGCACTTAGTATGGTTCAATCTCAGAATGTTTGGGTTGGAAGGGACCTTAAAATTCATTGTTTTCCAAATCCCCCTGTGATGGGCGGGGGCACCTTTCACTAGACCAGGTTGCTCAGTGCCCCATCCAACTTGCCCTTGAACACTGCCAGGGACAGGGCATGCCCAGCTGACTGATGGTCTATACTTTGTCACTCACACCTTTGGCAAGCCAAGAGTTTAAAAAGATCTGGTAAACACCAGCGGTTCATAAATGCTACAGTTCCCTTAGCAACACTGGCTTATCATAGACAAGGAAGAAGTCTTCAGGTCCTAATTATAGTGCTACTGACTATTGAATTTGGGTTATGGGAGTCTGGTCCAAGTCCCAGT